GGAAACAAGAACAGAGCTGTTAGAAATATACTCAAGATGTTTCATTTCATGGAAAATATATATGCTCTCTCCATCAAGACTGGGGAGAGAATTCCCATAAATAAACTGAAATTCCTATTTCAATAAATATCAATACATTTTCAGTATTAAGTTCTACGATAACTTCAAAGTTGATCTAGGAATAGTACATCTGAACGAATTCTAATGAGCTGGCGTGGATACATATGTGCCTCAGCATCGTATCTCTATACTAACTTTGGTAATTCATCGTCACATCCGCATGCAATGGGGTGATGGATTTTCTACAATGGGGTGAGAAGTTGTCAATATGAAGTGATCCTCTCCACTCCCCCCGCTGTTCACACGGTGGACCATTTCATGATACAAGCCCTCTGACATGTCTCCACATTCAGTCGAGATGCTATTTTCCAATCGTATCCGTCATGTACTTCGACAGAAGAAGTCTCCCGTCCGCCGACGGCAAAGAGATTCCCCTCGAACGAAATGAGACCATGATTTGTCCGCTTCTCTTTCATGGGAGACAGGAGGCGCCAGTCGTTCTTCCTCGCATCGTACACGTACACGTTTGTGGGCGAGATATGACTTCCCTTGTCACCACCAGCAACATGGATTTCTCCCTTGTGAAGCGTGACACCAGGAGAGTGCCAGCCTCCAGGCCATTCAGAGAGTTCACTCCAGGATTTTGTCCTCGTGTCCAGCCGCTCGTGCTTCCTCCCGTTGGGTTTCCCTCCGATGACATGGAGACTCGACTCGACGAAGACCGCCGAACCTGCATGACGCTCATATTGCATATCCGGAATCTGGATCCATCTCCAAGATCCTAGTTCAAATCGGTTCAAGGACTTGAAGTACTTATGACTCTCATTTGTGCCGTATCTGATTCCACCGCAGACGAATATGGAGTCGAGTCCGACTGCCGATGAAGACCACTGGACGTTCTCGGGCGGGGGAGGGCCAGTTTCCCATACTTTCCTTTCCAAGTCGAAAACCTTCATCACTTCCATTCCCGTCACGAATAGCTTTCGATTCACCGCTGCAAAAGCGTCAACAAAGACCGTCGCGTTCGATCTCGGATAAGGGGTGATGACTTCCGAGGACCAATCGGAAGGATTTAAGCACATCATGTTGTTTCCGCCTTCGCATCTTCCCACGAACCAGAACGCATGAGAGCGTCGGTAGAAGCCAGTTCCTCTAGTTTTAGTCTTCGCCACGGGGACGGAGTCCTTTAGTTGCGGGGCGTGGAAGTCCTTCGCTTCCAGCACGAGTGCGAGACAACGGGGATCTCCGGATATCATGGGATCGCTCATGACATTACGATGAATATAGCGCAATGGCAATAGGGGAAGTCTCACGTGGCTCAAGAGTTTCAGCGTGTGCCTTTTTCTTGAAGGGTCCTGACCGAGCCATCGTCTCACTGCTTCGTAAATTTCGATTTCCGAGGAGACATCCAGATCATCTCTCTTGAGGAAGGTCTGCAAAGTCTCTACCGACAGGGTGAGGAAGTCCGGGGTTGGGATGATTTCTTGGAACCTGCGGGCAATGAAGTCCGATGCTGCGTCTTGCAACGGTTTCACGTTCAGCTTCTGGGCGACAGAGAGAAAGTTTAACGCATTTTCGGGTCGAAGCATCCTTTTCAATTTCTCAACATATTCCTCGAAGAGGAGATCGATCTGGAGCCGATGCGAATCCTTGAGAACGGAGAGAGCGACGTCCTCGTCTTCGGTCCCGTATCTCTCGTCGTAGATGAAGTCCCAGATGACCTTGAACCCTTCCTTGGAGACCTCTTCCAGCGGAACGATCTTGTTCGGAGATTCTTTCTGGGAAAGGAACATCCGTTTCAAAACGGGAGACGAAGAGCCGAGAAGAAAGCGGCTTCCGTGGAACGAGACGCCATGCACCCGCACGATCACGTCGCAGAGGAGGTTCTGCTCTCTGGAGTTCTGGGCCAGACCCCGAGCGAGGAACCGATATTCCTTCTCGGTTTTCGCACGTTTGGCTTCGTCACGCTCCTTCTCTATCACAGCCGAGACGAAATTCATGATGAGGTAGGCGAAGAGACGTGTAACAAGAGGCAACACGGAACTGCAGGAGAGGTTGACACGATTTCAACTGGTGCAGGGAGATAAATGGACCAGTTCTTTATCGGGATGTCCTGCTTTATCGCAGGTAATGAAGGAAGCACGAGCGATATCGGTCTATCAGCAACACATTTTTTTTTACATAAAGGTATGTTCTTTACCTGATTGGACTCCATATATTTTTCCATACCCACCTCATCTCTTCTCCAAGAAAAAGGACAGTGTTTTCCAGGGTCCTCTCTCTTTTAAAGGGTATATTTTTTCCTCATACGGATGCAATGGATGATCAGACGAGACCGAGATTGCAAGCAGCGACCAGAGAACCAAGTCGGTAATAAATCGCTTGAGGAGGTCTTCAGACATTCTGCGTGCTCAATCACCTTACTACAGCAACATGATCCGGAAGCATATTGGCACCCCAAAAGGACGCAAGTTGTGGGGTGGACCCCATCCCTCCACCACCGTAGATCATTTTTCGTGCATGTTTAACTCCTGTGGTCTCGGGTAGGTTGCTTATGATATTATCGTCTCCACGATTTTCTTTATGGTATCATTTGAAGAGGCTTCATATCTTATTGGAGGTCGCGGGCAATTTCACGGCCCACCTCCTCATAACTTCGAAGAAACCGCAAGAAATCATATCTTTCGAGAAGCATTTGCATTGGGTCTGGAGATGGAGAGGAAAACCGTATTGGAGATCATTTATTGGCATCTGCGAGCAAGTAAGATTAATGTTGAATCTTGCCACACCGTAAACTTCAACTTTTCGGCAACGAAGAGGAAGTTAAAGGCATTCTTGAGCGAAAGTATCTTCTTGCAAATCTCGGCGGATTCACGACAAAGGAGTTTAACTGGATGATATGGGAGTCTCAAAGAGTGGTCTTGGCTATGCTTTAATTCTCTCTGTTATGTTAATATTGCCTTAGAGGAAACCCCAGATGATATGAAACATTCCTTTGAGTCCTTTTCTAGCGCAACGATCTGAGGCGGGAGAACATTCATCTGAAGATTTGCGATGAGAACCAGAGATGGAAACGGCTTCCCTAAATAAAAATAAAAATAATAATAAAAAAACAGATCGGATCTGGATGATGACGTAACCTGAGGTGGTGCAAATGAGGGGACTGAATTTCCGGGCCAACGAACTCACTCCTGATATCGCTCCTATGGACTTCTTCGTCTGGGGTTGCATCGTTGAAAAGGTGTATGCCAGGAGACAGTGTGATGTGACAGACCTAAGAAACGCATATCGGAAGCATTCATGAGCCTTACGTTAGCGAACGCATGTGCAGAACTCTCTTCAAGCTGGGATTGCGAAGTCAGCGAAACGATGAACTTGTGGAGGACTGACATGGATATTTCTGACGAAAGACCTTTCCGCTAAATAATGTACAGGTCGTAAGTTCATGCAGGGGGAGGGGTTTCCTAGCAATAAAGTACTTGGCTACATAGTTATGACATTTTGTAGTCATATCGTCATGGACATCATATATTTCTCGCTCAACCGTGTGTTGTTCCATTCATACTTTCAGTGATAGATAATATCGATAGGAACCGTAATGGCTAAGTGGATTTGGCCAAGAGAGATTTGGATTAGAAAAAATTTCCGTAAAGATTGTTTATTAAGCATATATTGTATTTCGTACTTCAGTGCACCTGGAAATCTAAAAACTCATAAGTTAATTGTGCAATCAACCACCCGAGGGTCCAATATCAATGCCATGGTTTCACATTTTTGGCATGTATGCGTGAATATGAGTGCAAAAAATATATAGTGAAACATTTTTGAAAATGAACTATACACTATTTCTGGCATTGTTCAAGGAGCCGAAGGGAAACTGTGGAGGCGCAAAGTAAGTTCCATGGAGGAAAATCACGGGAAAATCACTCCGCCTGAGAAAATCGCTCAAAAGTGTTCCCTATGATAGACAATACTGGCTACTGTAAATCATGATAAATTACGATTCACAAACATTCCATACAACAATTTCGAAATAAATCAGTGAAACATTTAGTTTTTCTTATTATAGGGTACACATAGTCAACCTAAACTTGGGGCGTCTTTTCATTCACTAAAGGAACGTCTGATAATTTCTTGGAATGAATCTGACTTCCCAAGTTCATATTGGTACTCTAGACACTGATCAACGACTGGCAACGGTTTATTGGATACAGTGGGTTGGAACTCCCAGAGGAAGGAGGTGGGATGAGCCCGAAAGGATTACTCAACAAGATTACTGCACTCAATGCGAATTTTCGCATGGGGATAATCCGAGAGCGTCTCAATGAAAGGAGTGTGTTCCAGATTGTTTTTTTTTAAGTGGGTCGGCCTTAAGAATACTTCGCCACGACACTGAACAATTCTCCAAGCAGTTGCGAAAGCTTCAGAGCTTTGGTCGACCCATTTTGCAAACTGTCCCATTCGAACATGCTTTTACTCGCGTGGTCAGAACACCCCAAAGAATATTGGAAGCAAGGTAGTGAAAGGAACGGGTACTATGGGGGAAATGATTTCACGATCGGTCTCGCTCTTTGCGACCATTTCTGCTTCTTTTCTGCTGGTATTTGTCCTAGCAAACGGGGACATCGCATCGCTCCAACTCGTATCCGTTCCAGCATCGAAGATCGTATGGGTCTCCGGATTTGTTTCGTCGACAGAAATTGTGAGAAGGATGCAAGTCGTCTGCAATATCCATTTCTTCATGGAGGTCAATGGAATCCAGCTGATCCCATCGGGATAAGTAGGTCAGCCACGGCTGGCATGGATTGCCCGAGCCCGTCAAATTCCTCGTCCCCACGTATTTTCCCCTCATACCGGGTTGTTGGCACTCCTCTGGAACTGGAAGAAAAGAATGGTACGTTAGAGCGCTGGCCCTTTTTTGAGTTCCTGCTATGAAGTGTCTACATCACAGAACGTGGCAGGAACACGGCACAGAGCCGAGAAAATAATTCTATGAAATACTCACTAACGCATTCCCCCTTGATTCGTATGTCGCACTCTTCTCCATCACTCGTGGGGCAAAAGGGAACATCGCAATACTCCCATTCACCGTAGAGCCCAGGTTCTACGAAGCACCAAGGACTCCGAATAGTACTTGGGCGAGGATTGCGGCAAAAGTTGTCGGTCGAGTCGATTTCCTCGGGAAATGTAGACGTTTCGGCGTAATTCGGCCTCTCGTCGATTGTGAAACTGCCTACCCATGGTTGACAGGGTTTACCAGACATTGTGACTTTTTTATTTCCGACATATTCTCCTCCCCTGCCCGTCAGCTTGCAATTCGGCGGATCTAAGGAGAATAAAGACACTCATTACATGGAAAATGAGAAATGGCTGAAAGTGGAATGAAGGACGGACTCATGTCATGGCAGAAGGGGATATCACAATACTCCCATTTGATATCGACGTCAGAGATGAAACACCAAGGCCTTTTTCTGTGCGGCCCAGGGTTCCGACAGTAATTCTTGTGCATTTTTGCATCACCATTCAAAAACAAGTAGTTTTTGTCATAGCCGGTATATTCCGAAGAGAAATCGGAGTCCGGATGTCGCCTCATGTAGAAATCCCAAGGCATGTCATCTGCCTGTTCGGCCCACGAGAGACAAGCTTTTCCCGTTTCGGTCACACTCATGGTTCCCACGTATTCCTTCCCTTTCTCCGACAAGAGGCACTCAGGATAGTTGGTACCCTCAGCGCCTTCTCGAACCTTCTTTTCTTCTGGGCAGAATGGTATATCGCAGGCCTCGATGACGGTATCCCAGACGTAACAGAAGGGAACATCGAATTCTCCGTATGGGTTTCGGCAGAAGTTGTGTTGCTCGTCCATGCCTTCCAAATCTGGAAAAATCCTTTTGTACGTACCATCACCTTCGATCCACTCTTTCCAAGGCTTGCACTGATCACCCGAAAGGCTGACGTTCTTCCTCCCGATGTATTCACCACCCATTTCGGTCACCTTGCACTCTGGAGGTTCTGGAGGTGAAAGAATAAAGGCGGGGAGATAGACCCATGAATAAATTCTTCGGAACTTGATTCCAATCGATTTTAAATGATTCGCTGAGGAGTCAAACACGGACGCTTCCAGATCATCAAGATCACTGTTTGGAGAAATTATTTATGGGGAAAGTACATTCCATACTTGATGTATCATTACATTCGCGATTTTGGAAATTGTGGTGCTCATATGGCTGTAGAATTCCGGTTTTATGGAATCGGAGATCGTGCGACTAACAAGTGATACCATTTGAATGATGCTGAACTAGACGATTCTGCGATGACTTAAGCATGCGTTGAAATATCGCACAACAAACACAGTTTACTTATGTGAAAATAGAACTCCAGCATGTTGATTCTTGGCTATGGATTCCTGATCGCATGCAAATATCAGGCATGCAAGCATCTTTATGGATAGATGGATGAGACGATGAATTTCCAACCCCGGGAATTTTTTTAACGATTCACCTGGATCTTCGCATGTGGGGATGTCGCAGTAATCCCATTGTGTTTCCGAGTCATCGATGAAGCACCAAGGCTTTTCTCTCCCTGACGGGTTCCGACAGTAGTTCATCTGAGACCAGGCGTCCATGCCGAGGAAATTAACTTCATGACTCATGTTCTTTGTCTGAGTTATTTCCGGG